TTAAAATGTGTTCAGGTAAAGTGACACTTGCGGTCAAGCGATTTCGCTAAAATTCAATATATGGTAATTTTTTATCATTTATTAGATGTATACGAAAGTATATGTTGGGCTATACATATCAAAAGTGTAAGTTTATATGAAACATTTGAATGTCTTCAGGTAAAGTGCCATTTCCGGTTAGTGGATTTGGTCCAAAAGTTGTTTAAGAGCTTTCGATTTTGGTTTAATAGCTATATACCAAATTTCATTACGGTAACTGATTGCGTTTTTAAGTTATCGTGTTTACACACATTATTACATACGTATGTACGTACATAAATACGCACAGGCATTTTCTGGGAATGGTCAATATCAGGACTCAGGGGACCTCAAAACGTGTATATCCATCAAAATGTCGAGGTCGAATCTTTGCACGATTACAATACTTTGTCTCATATACTTCGTATATAGTGCGAGAAAGTAAAAATTAATTTACAATATTTTTCTTTGATATACTTTATAACAATGAAACTTCATAACTTTCACTTATTCTCGAATATTTTTAAATTAATTTGTTTTTTATTGTATTTAATTTTGTATTTTTAAAACTTCTTTTCTATTTATAACAGTTTACATGTTATTTTAGTTTCTTATGATAACGATCGCGCATCAATTCAAACGATCACTTAACACTCTTACGCTTATATTGAGCAGCGTTATCGTTTCTTTTCAAAGACCAGCAGTAGTCAGCCATCATTCTTTCATCCCATCTACCTTGATAGTGTCGCTTTTTTTTCTTTCAAATCCTGATGGAATCATTCACCTATTTCTTCGCTGAAGGCTCCTACATTTTCCTGAAAGTAATGTAAATGGGAAAATAGGAAATGTAGCTTCAAACTCATTAAACAGCCTAATTTNATTCCAAAATTTTTTCTTTTTTGTCTTTTCCGTTTTCTATAACTTCTAATTTTTTAAAAGGGATGAAATTCTCCATATTTCTCAATAAAATATATAAAAAATAGAAAAAGTAAAAACTTTTTGTGAGAAATAATTAAATATTAAAATTTATTCTATTTCTATTTTTTATATATTCTAATTTTTTAATCAAGTTCAGTTTTATACATGCTGCTAACCCTAGGATTGGATTGTTTCCTTTTTCTACTATTACAAACTCTAATTTTTCCACTTTTCCTTTTTTATTCATGCAATTTAGTTTTATTATACCTAGAGTTTCTATTGGACTTTCACCATAAGCTAATAACTTACAACACAACCCATCTACTTTCATGTTGGGGCATACCTGTTCAAATTTCATTTTAGTAAGTACATTTACATCCGCTCCTGTATCTAATTTGGAACTTATCTCTTGTTCATTTATAATTAATGGATATTTCCATATTCGTTCAGTTTTACTTGTTAGTTCGTCTAACGTAATTTCATCCATATACAGGGTGTCTCACGTAACTGGTTCGTTAGAACTTTTTTAGGTTCTAGTATTCGTACAGTTTTGAAATTTTGGTATAGTAGAAACCACGAGAGCTGGCAGTGACAGATCGCTTAGAAATGGTATGAATCAAGATATGGACGTACGACTTAGATTATTTCACCACATACATTTAAATGTAGGTTATGTTA